TGGAGGTTCCTGGGTAGTTAGGGTCATAAGTATGGTAACTACACTGGGAACCTTTTTTTGGCCGCTTATATCCCTACTTATAACTACCCATGAACCTTCAAGCAAGCTCTAAACCCTCAAGGGCTTCAAGGGGGTTTAAACCCTGAACCTAAACCCTAAACCCTAAACCCTAAAGCCTAAACCCTAAACCCTAAACCCTAAACCCTAAACCCTAAACCCTAAGCCCTAAGCCCTAAGCCCTAAACCCTAAACCCTAAACCCTAAACCCTAGACCCGTCCAAGGAGGGAAGAGATGACATGGGCATAGACGACCACTTCCGCTCGGTGGCGTGGCTCTAGAACGTGCCGGGTGGCTTCTTTGGTCTCAGAGGGTTTAGGGTTTAGGGTTTAGGGTTTAGAGTTTAGGGTTTCGGGTTTAGGGTTTACGGTTTCGGGCTTAGGGTGAATTTGAAGCAGGTTGCCTGAATATGTGCCAGCAAAGTAAATGGCTAGATCTCCCGAGTCCGTTCTTCGCCCGGAACCCAGCATCCCTAAACCCTAAACCCTGGCCCGGTGGCACCCTTAACAAACCCCAACCCTCCCAAAAGAGCCCAATTGCGCTGAAAAAAGTGAGTTCAGTTCAGTGTCTAGGGTTGGGATTAAGGCGTATAGGGAGGGACCCAAGAAGGGAATTTAATCCTAGTCCCGGGTTTAGGGTTTAGGGTTTTATATACCCATATCGTCCCCCTACATTACCGCGAAGGTCTCTTCCGAGGGTCCCTCCTTTAGAAACCCCAAACCCTAAACCCTAAACCCTAAGCCCTAAGCCCTAAGCCCTAAGCCCTAAACCCTAAACCCTAAACCCCAAACCTTAAACCCTAAACCCCAAGCCCTAAGCCCTAAGCCCTAAGCCCTAAACCCTAAACCCTAAACCCCAAACCCTAAACCCTAAACCCTAAACCCTAACCCTAAGCCCTAAACCCTAGACTCTCCTTTAGTCCTTGAATCGCCCAGGTCATTGAGAAATTACAAGCCAGACCCCCAGCAGCTATTTTGGGATTTGGGGTATGAGAGTGAATTGAACGGCTTTTCGGGTTTAGGGTCCCAAAACCCAAAACCCTAAAGCCTAAACCCTAAACCCGGAACCCTAAACCCTAAACCCTAAACCCTAAACCCTAAACCCTAAACCCTAAACCCTAAACCCAAAACCCAAAACCCAGGGGTTGAGGGGAGATGTCGGGGCAAAGAGGGTGATTTAGAAGTTTGAGCGTCACAAGGTGTGGGGCAAGCCAGGGTCTCGGGGCTGAAGGGCGTTTAGGGTTTAGGGTTTAGGGTTTAGGGGTTGGGGTTTAGAGACCTCATTCCTTCTTTCCCTACTAAGAACTAAGAACCAGTACGTCTAGGAGCCAGACCGCTTCAGGGGTCTAGGGTTTGGAAGGGGTTGAAGGGCTTTAATTAGGGGCTTAAGCACTCTTGGGTGGTTGTCAAAATTGTGGTTCCGAGGGTCAAGGGTTAAGGGTTTAGGGTTTAGGGCTATGCAATACGGCACCTAATATTTAGGGTGTCCAAAAAGGGACCCTGATTTTGACAACTACCCTCTTGAAGGTTCGGGTCTAGTTTGCGAGCAGTCTGGGTTTAAGGGGTTAGGGGTTTGTAAGGGTTGAGGGGGGTTTAGGGTTTAGGTGTTAGGGTTTAGGGGGGTTAGGGTTTAGGGTTTAGGGTTTAGGGTTTAGGGTTTAGGGTTTCGGGTTTAGGGTTTAGGGTTTAGGGTTTAGGGTTTAGGGGCCTAAGGGCTCAAGGGGTTTAGGGCTGGCGGGTGTCGGGGCGTGAGGGGCAGGGTGCCCGCAATGCATCCCAGTACTCCTTCGTCCGACACCAAACCCTAAATTCAAGAGCCTCCGGCTCAAGCCGCCGACCCCGCCGGAGCATTGTTCAGGGCTCAAGCGGCGCAGCGTGCCCCGGCGAAACCCTAATTAAACCCAAACCCGACCCTAAACCCTACAGCCGAAACCCTATCCCCTACAGCCTAAACCCTAAAGCCTCAGCCCTAAAGCCGAACCCTAAACCCCAAAGTAAAGCCTAAACCGAAACCCGAACCCTAAACCCCCAAAGCCTAAACCGAGGACAGCCCAACGACCACAGGCTTAGGGTTAAGGGTGGGAGGGCTTAGCCGGGCTTAGGGTTTAGGGTTTAGGGTGCAGGTTAAGCTTTTACTGCAGGAAGGAGGAAGGGTTGGGGGGGGGGGCAGAAGGGGAGGGGGGGGAGCAAAAACCCCTATGCCCTGTGCGAAACCGCCTATGGTCCATGAGTACACGCGGTGTGGGTGGCCTGGCCCTCCACGGAAAAGCTGCCGGGGTACCCCCCCTACCCCCCCCCCCCCCCCCCCCCCCCCGCGTTTTAGCCTCCAGAAACCTATCCTATCCAACACGCCGCCAGGGTCGGCGGACCCTAAACCCTAACCCTAAACCCTAAACCCTAAACCCTAAACCCTAAACCCTAAACCCTAAACCCTAAACCCTAAACCCTAAACCCTAAACCCTAAACCCTAAACCCCAAACCCCAAACCCCAAACCCCAAACCCTGAAACCCTCAAACTTGCAGGCGGTTTGCGACATTCCCATTGAAGAGCTGGTCCTTCCTCCCGATTTCGTGCACGAGATCCAAGAGTTGCTTGCCAGCGCGGTTGCGGGTTCGCTTGTCTCCGTGGAACCCTAAACCCTAAACCCTAAACCCTAAACCCTAAACCCTAAACCCTAAACCCTAAGCCCTAAACCCTAAACCCTACACCCTAAACCCTCTCTATCTCTTGTAGATTTAACCCTACTAACTTTTTGGTGCATTTATCCCACGTTGTTGAGCACTTTTTGGTGCAGTCGGCACCGTTGTTGCGCCATTTTTGGTGCGTCGACACTTTTGTTGCGCCATTTTTGGTGCGTCGGCACCGTTCTTGAGCACTTTTTGGTGCATTCGGCACCGTTCTTGAGCCATTTTTGGTGCACATCGGCACCGTTCTTGAGCCATTTTTGGTGCAATCGGCGCCGTTCTTGAGCCATTTTTGGTGCGTCGGCACCGTTCTTGAGCCATGTTTGGTACCGTTCTCGGCACCGTTCCTGAGCCATTTTTGGCCGTTCTTGGTGCGTCTTCACCGTTCTCGAGCCATTTTTTTTTTGCCTCGGCACCGTTCTTGAGCCATTTTGGCTGCATCGGCACCGTTCTTGAGCCATTTTTGGTGCGTTGGCACCGTTCTTGAGCCATTTTTGGGTGCGTCGGCACCGTTGGAGTGAACCTGTAAATTTCTTAAGCTTATGGGATTCTTTGGATGGGTGGGTTTGTTCGTAAGCCTGGAACCCCTAATGACTAAGGAATGCTAGGACAGTGACCCTCTAAACCCCAAACCCTAAACCCTAAACCCGAAACCCTAAACCCTAAACCCTAAACCACCCTAAACCCTAAACCCTAAACCCGAAACCCTAAAGGGCGGTTGCAGGGGAGCCAGCGGAGGACTGCAGAGACCTACATCAAGAAAACGTCCTCAACCGCCTTCGGCGATGTTGTTTACGTCGCCCGGCTTGGGATTCGGGCAAGGGTTTAGGGTTTAGGGTTTAGGGTTTAGGGTTTAGGGTTTAGGGTTTAGGGTTTAGGGTTTAGGGTTTCGGGTTTAGGGTTTAGGGTTTAGGGTTTAGGGTTTAGGGTTTAGGGTTTAGGTTTAGGGTTTAGGGTTTAGGGTTTAGGGTTTAGGGTTTAGAGTTCAGGGTTTTGGGTCTGGGTTTAGGGTTTGGGGCTTAATTTAGGTTTAGGGTGTAGGGTGTCCTGCCGAACTCACTTGTTGAATGTGTTGCCAAGATATTCCGGGACCAGGAGTGCCCTAAGGGTTTAGGGTTTAGGGTTTAGGGACACTTGCGCTGAGGATGCGCTGTTGGAGAATGTGCCCTATGCTCGGAGCCTTCAGCATCACCAGAGTTCAGAGGTTGAGAAGTCGAGTGTACCAAGGGCTTAGGCGGAGTATATTTGGTGCTTAAAAGGCGGTCCAATCGCAAACAGCATGTTGCTGTTTGCTTAAGAGCCACCAATGGACAAAAAAAAAACATTAATCCCCTATAGCCTGTATAAGGAAGAAGATGTTCCATTTTCTGGGTGGTTCTTAAGTTTGAAGAACCACCAAGAAAGGCGGAGGGGGGGGAGAAGGGGTGTCGTTGGACAGGAAGCATCAAGGGTAGTTGCGTGGTCCCTGAATGCGGTCCCTTACCTCCTTTAACGGGTTCTGAAGCATGGGCCCCCGGGTTGTACGGGGTTTCTGAGGGGCCCTCCAAAGGGGCCCACACAAAGGGACCATGCAACTACCCTAAGGCTCTAAGAGTCAGGCAAGGACAAAGCTGGATACAGGCCGGTTAAATTCATGTGCCGAGGAGATGTGGGAGGTCGGATCAGGGCGGGCAGGGGCAGGGGCAGCTGGGGGCAGACTGCAACAGGAGCCTACGTGATGACCAATTTCGTACCCTTTGCATGTATCTGTATATGTATATATATATATATGCATATATGTCCATATATATATATATATGTATATATACACGTATTTGTATGATCATACAAGTAGAATATCGGTGGCATCTGGAGACTCTCCGGTCTCCGGAGGGAACCCCCCCCCCCCCAACTCCCCGAACCTTAAGCCCCACCTCCGAGGAAGTACTTCGTCACCCCCAGACCTATCCTGGTTCTGAGACTGGCAGATGCAGTTGGCAACTCGACCCAGTGGGCTCATTTAAAATTTAAGGCCTTTAGGATTTTCCTAAACCCTAAACCCTAAACCCTAAACCCTAAACCCTAAACCCTAAACCCTAAACCCTAAACCCTAAACCCTAAACCCTAAACCCTAAACCCTAAACCCTAAACCCTAAACCCTAAACCCTAAACCTAACCCTAAACCCTAAACCCTAAACCCTAAACCCTAAACCCTAAACCCTAAACCCTAAACCCTAAACCCTAAACCCTAAACCCTAAACCCTAAACCCTAAACCCTG